AAACAATCAAGTAAAGAAGAAATGATATTTATAACTTCAGATTTTAGTTTGATGTGAAGAATAAAGGTAATAAAGTGAACTGCAGATATTAAAGTAAGTGCTTCAGTAGATCTGTGATCTTATCAATTTGACTTTCATTAATACAAATGGTAACCCAGTGAAAAAGCAAATAAACTGAGTTACCCAGCATTATGCTCAGGGTTCAGAACTATTAGAAACATAGGTTTATTAGCTTATCAAGTAACTATTTGAAGATTTTGTTGACTCTCATTGATTCACCTTTACAAAAGGGACATCCTACTTGACATAAGAAATCTAAATACCCCTTAGTACAGTTGTTAGAAAGTCCTGGAAATTACTTCAGACTATAAGGCTTGCATTAGTATAACAAATCAAGAAGAGAGCATTTATCTAACAGAAAAAGAAAAAGACAAAGATCTATTTTTGATGTTTGATTATAACAGTAACATAGCTTCAAGACTCCAACGTATGATAAAGATCAAAACCATTTTCAGTAACAAGAATAGGTTTAAGTGTATTTGGTCATATTGCAAAGATTGTTAGTATTTTCTGGTAACTTTCAACTTATGCAATTAATTGAAGGTAGGTAGTTAACTTGAGCAATAAATTCTGTTTGACAATGAATGACTAATTGAGAAAAAGGTATTAGGTAATCCTGTCCTGGTCTTGGCTGAAGATCCCTAGAATATGGAATTGTCCTAAAGTTGCTGATGTGAAGGTATTGAATGAGAGTATAGGGTACCCTCGGTGGAAATATAATGTAAGTAAGACTGTGCGGTAGAGTGGAAACACACTTGACTTGGAATTGGAAACCTTTTGGGTTCATATCCCAGATCTGAGACTTAGCAACTGTGTGATTCCAGCAAGACATTTAACCTCTCCATGCCTTAGTTCCCTCATCTCCAATGTGAAAGAGTTGAAATAGGAATGCATTCCCTCCTCACTTCCACTTTTAAAACTCCCCAGGTTCCTTCCAAGCTCAGCTCAAGTGCTGCCTCATTCATGAAGCCTGAACTGATCTACCTAGCTGCTAGTACCTCCCCTTCTAATTACTCTGTATTTGTTTTAGGTGTCCCTAAAGTCTATGTACAGTTTAAGATATTAATAACTCCTGTCTTATAGGAGTTAACAATCTACATCATGTAGTAAAGAGATAAAAAGTGGATAATATTCTCTGGTTAACTGAGTTTAAGTCTGTAACATCATTTAGAAGAAAATCTACAGCTGTGGGGAGATGTCAAAATTACAGTGTATTCATCAAAACCTCTCATTTCAAAAGAACTTTGTGCTACCATAACTGATATAATGAATTCCAATATGGAATTGTAGAACTGTTCCTTGTTTTGCATATGTAATGACAGTGGACCTGTTGATACTTAAAAATCCTAAGATTTAACAGTAGAAAACTTTAAAAAAGAGAGAACAAATACAATGTAACCCTATTTCCATTCCTGTGTCCTATTGTGTTCTGTTCTATAACTGCCTCAAAACACAGACACAGCTTCTACCCACATATATCTTGAGAAAGTGAACAGACCCTCTGGACTTCCTGAGGTTCTCAACTAATCCTTTATGAATGACTTATTTTCTGAAACTAATTTCAACTTTCCATTGCAAAATACTGCTCACTTCCTTCACCTCTCCTCTGGGTTCTTACAATCATCACTTTCTATTCCTTTTGTAGTTAATTATGGGGCTTTGAGAGATGAGGTGAAAATACTAGAAAGAGATCAAAGAGAGAGATTGCTTCCACTCCCACCATGGCTCTGTGTTGAATGACATTTCTACACTAAATTGACAAAAGAAAAGGCTGACCTTCCCATTCTAAAACTTTCACAGGAAGCATTTATGAAGGAGCTGCTATAATCTAGACATGGAATAAAAACACAGAAATAAAGTAGTCCCTGTACTCAAGTAGCTTTTGTTCTGTTGGGAGACATATATGCAAAAGAATATACAAAATACAGGGCATCTCAAAAGTCTATATGCAGTTTAAAATAATAATAACTTCAGTTCTATAGGAGATTAAGAACAACTGCAAAACACAGCAGAGAAGTGATTTAGTAAATTCTAGTGTGTTTAATCTTAGAATAACTCCTAAAAAGAATAAAATAACTCAACTGAGACTATATTATAAATTAATGTCAAGGATCGGAGTAGAACACAATTTTCACTTCTATTGTCTAATGCCCCAGGACATATCCTAGGCAAACTTGTAATAATTTACTTCCCTTATATATACAAAGATCCTTGTCAGATACATATACGCACACACGCACACACACACACACATACACACATATATCAAGAGCACCAGCATTCTTCTAGTCATTCACATGAGTCATCTTTTTTTAAAATATATTTTTATTTATTTGTGAAATATTTCCCAATTACATGTAAAAATTTTTAACATTCTCTTTTTAAAAATTTTGAGTTCCAAATTCTTTTCCTTCCTCCTGCCCCTCCCCTGCCCTTGAGGAAGCAAGCAATATATCAATTGTACTTGTGAAGTCGTGCAAAAAAATGCCATGTTTGAAGCCATGTTTGAAAAGAAAACACACACAACAACCAAGAAAAAAAGGTTACAACTTATGCTTCAGTCATCACTCAGAGTTCATGAGTTCTCTCTGTGGAGGTGGATAGCATTTTTCATCATAGATCCTTCAGAATTATCTTAGATCATTGCCTTCGTCAGAGTAGCTAAATCTTTCATAGTTGATCATTCTTGCAATATTGTTTTTACTGTATACAGTGTTCTCCTGGTTCTGCTCACTTCACTTTGTATTAGTTCGTGTAAGTTTTCTCAAGTTTTACTGAAACCACCCTGCTTGTCATTTCTTGCAGCACAGTAGTATTCCATCATAATCATATACAACAGCTTTTTCATTCATTCCCCAATTGATGGGCATCTCCTCAATTTCCAATTCTTTGCCATAACAAAAAGCTATTATAAATATTTTTTGTAAAAATAAGTATTTTCCCCTTTTGTTTTATCTCTTTGGGATACAGACCTAATAGTGGTATTACAGGGTCAAAGGGTATGCACAGTTTTAAAGCTCTTTGGGCATAGTTCCTAATTGTTCTCTGGAATGATTGGACCATTTCACAACTTCACCCATAATGCATTAATGTCTCAATTTTTCCACATTTCCCTTGGAATTATCTTTGACATTTTTACTCTCCCTCACACTCCATATCCTATTTGTAGCTAATTCTTGATTCTACCCTCTCACCATCTCTTGCATCTGTCTCTTTCCTTTCACTCACACCATAGCTCCCATTTCTTCTTGCCTGGATCGGGCCCTACTTACCTCCTATCTAGACTATTGTAATAACTTCCTAATTAGTCTTCCTTCTTCCACTTTCTGCCCTTTCTAATATATCCTCCAGAGAGCTTCCAAATTGATATTCCTAAAACCCAGAGCTGACTATATTACTTACTTGTTCAAGAAACTTTTATGGCTCCTTGTTGCTTCTAGAATCCTCTCCTCTGCCTAGCATTTAAGACTCTTCATAGTCTGGCTCTATCCTATCTTTCTGGGATTCCCACCCCCATCTCCCTACTCCTGCCCCATATTTATGCTTTGGCCAAACTAAACTTGTGATTCCCCATACATTCCACCTCCAACTTCCATGCCTTTGCACAGTCTGTTCCCTATGTCTAGAATGATCATCTAGCTCTCTTCAGGGGTCAACTTAAGTTCTACTGTCTTAAAAATTAGGCCATTCCCGATTCCTTTGTTAGTTCCTATCTTCCTTTCTCTTCCCCACCACAATCATTCTCTGTAGTAATACATATACAAGTATATATGCATATATATATACACATATACATATATACGTGCACATATACACACATATATTCCCACAATAGGCTAAGCTTCTTGAGAACAAGGATTTTTTTTTAGCTTTTATGTGTTTATCCCTGTCACCTAGCATAATGCCTATAATAGGTGCTTAATGTAAAATTTTTTATTATTGTTTGATAAAACTAGTTTCTGTTTCAGAAGTTTCTGGTAGTCAAAATAAAAGTAAATTATCTGATTAGTATATTGTCTAGGCCCGAGGCTTTTTGCTTAGGTGTCTGGTCACCGGCTCATTATCATTAACATCTGAACAGAGGATGGGCAAGAGAAAAGAATGGACTTAAACTCAGATCAATCTATTTGCATGGTAGCCTGGTTGAAAATATTGATAAAAATGAGCTTTGAATACTTTTCATAGCTTTCATTTATCTGTGATGTCCCATTCCCTCCTGCTTATGGATAGCTAACCATAATCCATGAAATACCCGGTTCAGAATCAGAGTATGAGTGATGTGTAACTATTGGAAACCGGTGGTTTTGCATCTCACTGTTCCTGACACTCTCAGTTTTCCCTCAAGTGGGACCACACGTTAAACTAAAGTAAGCCAGAAAATCAGTCTGTTCCCAAACTGAATCCCTGCATGATTTTGTTGGATACTTGTTTTCTTTTAAGTCTTTATATTCAAAGCAGTTTCTTGGCTAAGAAAATTGTGTATTTAGGAATAATTTTAGTGAATGAGCACAAGACGCCACTGCCCTTAAGGGAAGGAATTGGCAAGATGTTGAAAATAACCATAAGCCTTCAGAGACACATTTGTGTTTCTAGGCTTTAGTTACATCACTTCTCTTTCTTTCCCTTACCCTAAATGCTTCTGAGAAGTTTCAAAGGAAGGTAAGAGGCATCTATCTTGTTTCCATGAATTAGTTTTTAAAATGCTGGATTTCAATTTATCCTAAGGGATCACTTCTTTTAAGGAAGGATTATAACCCTCCATAGTACATCTCTTGAGTGTGTTGCGTGGGTATGGTTAAAACAAAACAAACTACCGTCTTTCAACTGCTCTTAACATTCTTGCACCTACATTAATAATCTTGTGGGTGCTATTTTTTTCTTATAGTTCGGAGTTAATGTCAGAAAAAGGAACATTGACTTTTTCTTCTTTACTTTTACAGGTAGCACAAGGTGGTGGTCACCGGACGCTGTTGTATGGACATGCAATTCTCCTTCGGCATTCATTTAGTAGAATGGTAAGCATGCTTACAGTGCTTCCCTGGGGATTGTGTTTGGCTAATAGAAAGCATGAGTACAGCAATACACAAGTATAAGAGAAAGTGAAAGGGAGCAAGAAAATGAATGATCAAATGCACCTAGAACCTAGATATAGTTGGAGGAAAATAATGTAATGACCAGGGAGTAACATCTCTCTGGTACTAGTTTATAACCTAAGCAGGAATAAAACAAATAGATGGAATTGGAGTGGGATTTATCATTCTGTGAAAATTAATTTTAGGAAGAACCCATTAACCAACAACAATCAGGTGACATAAATTCTAATGAGTAGTAAAGGGATTTTGAGATCTTTCAGTAACCCACAAGTATTAAAGATAGTTGTCAGAAGCCCTTACCAATCTGGGAGCTGAGACTAGATAGAAGATACCATATCGATGATTCCATAACTGAGTATAACCAGTTATATTAAGGAAGACTGTAAAATTCTGACCATTAATTTTAATTCCCTTTAAAACATAGACCACTCTACTTTATTTACTAGGCTTACTCTCTTTGAAATCAAACCAACAATGGTAATATATCACAATTTTGAAAAGTTTGTTATTCCTCAGACAAGACTTTGACTTTTAGTTTCCAACAGTGTTCTCACAGTTGCCGCCAAGTCCTAAGAAGCAGCCTCTTTCTGACACCCTGTGGCAATGTCATGCATTTCGATTCAGAACCTTATTTTCAAATAGAATATATATACACTTGCAACATACTATGAAGTGCCTTTCAAAGCTGCATTTTAAATAATTCTATTTGCAATAGCATTTTTCTGTAGCTGGAGAAAAGCTGATCTTTCTATCCTGAACTTTCAAGGCACAGAGAAATTTGGCTAAATAGCAAGTAATCAAAAGATTTATTGGAAGTTGTAGATTTCAAGAAATACTACACTATGCTTTATCTTGGACAGAGATATGATAATTCTCCCCAGTTAGAATAAAGAACTTTCCTGTTTTGTAAATTAAATTTCTTTGTAAAGCCAGTCAGAAAACTTTGATTTTAGTTCTATTCTGTTATTTAGTAGCTTTGTGAGCTTGAGCAAACTACCTATCCTCCTTGAGACTCATCTGTAAAATGGGGCTAAATAATGCATGTACTAACTACCTCACAGGATTGTAATCTGAATTAAATTAGGTAATTATGATGGGGCAGCTAGGTGGTGTAGTAGATAGAGCAATGGGCCTGAAGTCATAAAGACCAGAGTTCAAATTTGACTTCAGACACTTACTAGCTGTGTGGCCCTGGGCAGGTCACATAAGCTCCACCTGCATAAAACTAGAGAAGAAAATGGCAAACTACTCCAGTATCTTTGGCAAGAAAACCCCATAGACAGTTGGTCCACAGGATCATGAAGAGTCAGATGCGATTGAACAACTACAACGACAACAATTATGTACAACGGGTTCCCCCCCAATTCTTTACCTTTATTGAATAAGCATGGTCATCCCCACTGGACCTGTTTTGGCTTCAAAAGTTCACAACAGCATCATGACAGCACTACGGAATCTCACTTTTTTGTTAAATATAATTTTTCAAGAATTGAAATATAGAAGCTGAGGTTGTGTTTATTCATTAATCAACATGGTATTGTATCCTTCAAGAGCAATTATGTAGATACAGTCATAAACAATGTGATGCTGCATCATGTTGAGAGCTACAATGGTACAGTGGAAATAGTAATAGACTGATAGTCTAAAGACTAGAACTAGAACTGAAGCAAATTCCAAGTGTAAATCTTCCTAATTGCTTTACCTTTCTGAACCTGTTTCCTCATCTTTAAATGGATGATACCATGTATACTATCTATCTTACAGGATTGTTGTATGCTTTTGTCAGTTTTAATGTGCTATGGAAACTTCGTAGTTATATTAAGTTAAAGAGCTTTTTCTGTTATAAGAAGCTGGATGCAAGGTCCATAATGAATGCCTCTGGGTGTTTTCCACAGTTTGTGTCCTAAATCCCACATTATTCTTGTCTGTCATTAAGCAAGACAGGCAACAGAAACTGATCCCTGGAAGCCAAACACTGATGAATTCCAAGAAAGGAAAGAAGATTGCCAGATCACCAGTGGTTATTCTTTGTGTTTTGTAGTATCTGACATGTTTGACCACATCAAGATCTCAGACAGATAAACTTGCCTTTGACGTGGGACTAAGGGAACATGCCACAGGTATGCTAGCATTCTCTAGTAACTGCTTAGTTGCCATGGTCTACTAATATCCATTTCATTCACTTGCAATTCTATATCACTTCTAATGCCGCATGGTACTTTTTACTCTAGAGTAGGTGTTAAGGAGGAGGTGAAGGAATGTAAAAGGCAACTAAGCAGGGAAGAGTGTGTTGTTTTAATTCCTACTATACCAAATAGTTGTGCATATCCCTAGGAAAAATAACTTATTTATCTCTGGATCTTAGGTGCCTCAGGTAAGTATATAAATAATTATCCATATGTGTAATCTTTATTATACCCAACAAATAGCTGCTAAAAAGAAAAGAGAAAGCTAATTCAAACCATATTAATAGAACATAGTATATACATCTTAAGAAATAGTATTTTCATGGTACTGACACTCTTCATTAATCAAATCATAACTAGAGGATTGTGGTAAAATTTAAGTGCCAAAATTAAAGATATTAATGTAATAGAATTTACTTAGAGAAGATGATCAGGAAGATGAAGTGTCTAGAAACTATGTCATGTAAGGAATCATTGAAGAAATGGGACATCTATTCTGACAAAAAACTAAGTGGTGATATGATAGTGATCTTAAAATATTTTCAAAGTCCATCATGGAAAAGTGGAAACAGATTTACTTTTCCAGACAGAAAGATCAGAACCAATGTTTGGAAGATACAAGTAGGCAGATATCATCTCAGTGTGGGGGAAAAAATCTTATTGACAACTAGATTTGTCTAATAGTAATCTATTGTTGTTTTGTGAAATAACATAGTGAACTCCTTATCATAAGAGGCATTCAAGCAATTCAATCCAATAAGCATTTTTCATCTTTAGTTTAATAAATTTTTAAAGAATTAACACTTTTTGATTTTACATTACCTTCATTTCCCAAAATATGTCATTTCCTCTCTCCCTTCCAGAAAGCCATCTCTTATATCAAAGTATAGCAAAGAGGGAAAAAATGCTTCAGCAAAATTTACAAACATCAGAAGTTTGACATTATATGGAGTTTTCCACATGCATAGCCCCTAATCTCTGCAGAAAAAGGGTGGAGTTATCTTTTCATATCTTTTCTTTGGAGCCAAGCTTGGTCCTTATAATTTTGTAGAATTCATTTGAATTTGTTCTGTTGTTCTTTATATTTACAGTGTATTCTGTATATTGTTTTCCTCATTTTGTATACTTCATTTTCCATTAGTGTAGATAAAACTTCTCATGCTTTTCAATGTTCATCATATTCAACATTTCTTATAGCATAGAAGTACTATATTATATTCAGGTACCACAATGTATTTAACTGTTGCTCAGTTGATGGACATCAGTTTTGTTTCTAGTTCCTTGAACTATTACCAAAAAATGCTGCTATAAGTATTTCAGTGTATAAGAGGCCTTTCTTTTTTATTTTTGACTCCCTTGGGGGTAATGTTAAGTTGCAGAATGTCTGGGTCAATGGATATTTTAGTAATTTTCTTTGCTTAATTCCAAATTGCTTCCCAGAATGGTTGGACCAGTTCATAGCATCACCAGCAGTACAGTTCCCTAGCCTCTCTAGTATATTACCAGTTCCCATTTTTTGGTCATGTTTGCCAATCTTCTACATGTGGGGTGAAACCTCAGACCTGTTTTGATTTATATTTCCCTTATTTATGATTTGCAGCATTCAAATATGGTTGTTAATAGTTTAAAATTTTTCTTTTTGAAAACTCTTTGTTCATATTCTTTGACCACTTGTCCACTAAGAAATGACCCTTTATCTTGTCTGCATTATTTCCTTGCATATCTTGGATAGCAAATCCTTTTTTGAAATATTTGAAAAATATTATTTTTCCCTATTGACAGCTTTTCTTATACTTTCTTTTCTTATACTTCCTGTTTTATTTCTATTTGTGTAAAACCCTTTCAAGTTCATATAACCAAATTATCTATTTTATTTTCTATGATCACTTTTATCCCTTGTTTTGTTGGAATTTTCCCGCTCACCAGAGCTGTGGAAAGTACCTGAACTTACTTCCTTCTGTTCTGGAGGGAAGGAGAAGGGACTTGAGCTTTAATAATCAAGTCAACAAATAAGCATTTGTTAAACATCTGCTATGTTCTAGATGCTGGAGATACAAAACAAAAAATTATTCATGTATTAAAGGAACTTATGTGGGATACAACATGTAGACATATATACATTATAGCTTGAGGAAGATGAGAGCCCCAGTATTTAGGGATGTTACAAAAGGCTTCCCGTAGGAGGTGGTACCTGAATTTAGCTTTGAAGAAAACTAGAGGTTTAGAAGTTGAGAAGAATGAGAACTGAGAAAGGCCTCTCAAATTTAGAAGTTAAGAAAGCATCTAAATTTTGAAATGTTTCAATAAATCAGTGGCATGTAATTAAATCCATGGCAGATTCAACACAAATTGGCTAAGACTAAGGGAGATCTACTTATAAAAGGGTCAAAAATACATATAAATGAGATTTTGCAGATCATCTGGTAAGAATTTGTCCTGCTTGCATCTTGATTGAAATGGAATTCATATTGTGCATCTTACCCAACAGCATTATAAGAGGTATTAATTAAGGCTAAGGAGATTGTCCTTTCTACCCTCACCATTTATCTATGGGACAGAAGGTTGCATGACAGTACCTGATCTACTTTCTCACTTTGCAAATAAGATTTCTTTCTTATGGTTTGATGTTTCTTTGTATTAACCTGAATTAGTATTCATTTTCAAATACCATTTCTTCTGATAGTTTGTGACTTAGTAAATATTGACTCAAAGAGCAAACTCCTGTTTTCTGAATATATTAACTTCTAATTGTAAATCAGGCCTTAAACTTTTGAGGACATTAGAAAAAAAGGGATATAAGATTGTTCTTTTGTCATTAAAATGTGATTTAAAATTAGAACATGGAAGATAAGTTTAAAAATAAGTTTAAAAAATTATTCAAGAAGATTTATCAAAGATCTCTAATTTTTTTTAAAGTTGAGTAGAGAATTCCACTCTTTACATTTAAGAGGTTCCCTCACAGCACCCCAAGCTATAAGTGACCTTAGAGGTCAGCTCACCTTCCCATTTTACAGATAAGGAATCTGTAGCTCATTAAGGTAATTTGCCCAAGGTTATATAGGTAGTAAATATCAGTGCTAAATTCAAACACAGGTCCTCAGAGTCCAGATCTAATGTTCTTTACATGGCTCTTCTTTTCAATCTGGTGTTTGTCCATAGCGAGGTTTGGTGTCAGAAAGTTTAGATAATAAATCATAGAACGTATATTTAAAGCTGGTAGGGATCATAGGATAATTGATCTAGGCATCATAAAGTTCATCCATTCTAGCTGTCATTTTATAGATAAAGAAATTGAGAACCAGGGAAGTTGTGACTTTCCCAAGGTCATTTAGCTAGTAAAGGTCAGAGTTATTTAGGTTTTGAACCCAGCTCCTCTGACTCCAATTCCAACATTTTTTCCCATTGAACCGTAGCTTTGTTTAACCTTAGTCAAATTACATAGACTTTCTGAGCCTCAGTTTCCTCATCAGAAAATGAAGAGACTAGTACTTGTTTTTCCTATTTCACAGGATTATAAAGAGGTTTAAAATGAGATAATATATACATAAAATACTTTTTAAACCCCAAAGCATCGAATACATCCAGTCATTTTGCTTACTAAAGAGTCTTAATGATCCATCCTGAATTAAAATAGTCTTGTGTTTGAAAATTGATGAGATGAAACCTTTCAGCTAATATAGGCAAGTGATGGAGTTGAATAGGATTATGTATAGATAAAATACAACAAAGTTAAAGCATCTTCTTTTCCCTTCTTCAGTTTGAATACACATACCGTCTCTTTCAGTTTTCTTAAGACTAAATCAGTATTTATATGGGAGAAGAAAGTAAAGGTGTTTATAACTCTAATAAAGGACTGTTAAGTGTCACCAAAAAGAGGTTCAACAAATTTGAGGTGATTGGGAGGGATTTGCTCAGAATATTACCATTAGCATCCAGGAATCCAACTCAAGTGACCCTATGGACCAGTTCCTCCCCACAATTAGACTTAAGGCTTACCATCCCACCAAGGATGAAAGGGTTTTTTGTTGTTGTTTTTTTTTTTAAATTGTAAGTGTTGAATTGGTATTTTGAAGAATAAGAGAAAGAAACATTGTTGGAAGAGAGAAAGTTTCTGCACCATTTTGTGGGGGGTTTTTCCCTCTAAAAGCCTGGTAAGTCATAAGACTTGTGTCTCACCCCTAACTTTTGTTGTGTCTACCTATTATTTCACGTACTATGCATTTTTTCCTTCATCAACAATTATCTTATTGACATAAACAAAGCATGCTATCAGAATTTGAGTGTCATGGACAAGAGGTAAAAAAAGGAAAATCCTAATAACTTGTTAAGAGTAGTAGTCTTATCCTTGTTGAGGGTCATCTTATAGTTTTCCTGCCTTTGGTTATTCATTTTACTTCTTGACATAGATATGAGGGATCTACTCCTATCAACTCCTATCAAGGAGCTTCAGAATTTTGATCATTTTCTAGAAGATGCTACTCGTGCCTTTGCCAAGGGTGATTCTTCACAATTTCCTTTAGACTTCTTCAAAAGATCATGCAGTGGATTGGGATGTACCAATATTTGGCTCTTTTTCCCAGTTAGGCCTTTTGATCCAAGTTTATCCATTCTATAGCTAGCTCTCTTTCTTGCAACGTTTTTGGCTTCGCAAGATTGAAGAATCTTTGCTTATAGATGAAAAGCAGAGAAGGGAATCACAAAATTTTAACTAGAACCCTTTCAGAACAACTACATCTGACATCTTGCATCCTTTTCGAATTTTAACTAAGAAATAATCTGCTTAAGTTGGTAAATAACACTCTTTCAATGTTTATCATCTCACACTTTTTTTTTCTTTGCTGAAGAATCCAGATTTTCACAGAAAATGAGAATTGGAAGGGATCTTAGAGGTCATCTTATCCAAGATCATCCCTGATGCATATATGACCACCCCAAGCAAATGGTCATCTACCTTCAGCTTGAATATGCCTATTGACAAAGAACTCATTATTAATTTTCAGTAATCCATAATGTCTAGGAAGTTTTTGCTTATATAGGTAAAAGAAATCTCTATAAGTTTCACCCATTGATTCTGTCTCTCCTGGAGCTAAAGAGCTACTTCATCTTCCTTAGCCTTCTAAACACTTTAAGACAGTGATCATGTTTTTAATCAAGTCTTCTCTCTGCTAAACATTCTCAATTGTCTTTTGTATGATATACTCACACCGTGATCATCCTGGCCACAGAAATTTTAAGACAAAGCTTTGGAAGGCATGATTAGGAAACAACTTTTTTCCTAAACATACTTACTAAGTACCTTAATGAGTAGCTGGGTGGTGCAGTGGATAGAGCACTAGACCTAGGATCAAGAAGACTTGACTTCAAATCTGACCTCATCTTCTTATTAGCTCTGTGATCTTGGGAAAGTCCCTTAACTTTTGTCTGTCTCAATTTCCTCAACAGTAGCGCCCTCCCAGAATTGTTGTGAGTATAAAATAAGATAGCTGTAAAGCACTTAGCAAACCTTTAAGTAATATATAATTGGTAGCTATTGACATTATTATTACTATTATTGTTATTTTTGTTGTTATCCCAAGTCCTGTTAATCTCCTTCTTTGGGAATCAGAAAAAATGACTCTCTTATTACTAACTAAACTAAGACAAATGATTTATCTTCTTTGGGATTTAATTTCCTCAACTATAAAGTGAGGTCATTGTACAATTCTTCGTGTTTCCCAGCCTTTTTGAGTATAAAGATTCACTATTTAACATACTTTTTGTAGCTTCCCATATGATGTCGTATATACAATATTTAGTATTTTCTGATGAATTTATATTTTATTGATCACAACAATGCCATACATTTTAAAATGGTAATATATAGTATATATTCGGTATGTAATATTTTTTCTCCAAAAGATAAGATTGCTTAATTATGTATCTGTGTATGGATTTGCAAACTTCCTACAATAATTCTTCAGTCTCCCACAGTTTGGGAACTCTAAAGTTGAGGGATCCCTGCCTGAGGACAGAGACAGGAGAATGAAGGTAGCTTCGAGAGCAGAGCTAGGACAAACTGTGTGATATAGCTAAGGTTTGAAAGATATTTCCCAACCTGTTGCTGTTCCCTTTATGTGCGGTCTTCACTGTAACACATTCAGTTAGGCTTGCCACAAAGTAAATGGCTGTCTACTATGAACAGTGGAATTTCTGACATCAGGAATATATGCATTTGAAAAAATAAATGAGTGAATGAATGAATAAATAAATAAGATAATCAAATTAATGGATTAATGAATATTAAAAACTATGTCTAGGTTGTTCCCCCATGTGCCTGTGGCTCATCACAGATAGCTATCTACCTTGTCTGTTCCTAGTTCCAACTCTATGGGTCACAGTGATTAAAAAATAGGTAAGATAGAGTGGGAGCTGAAGGAAAAAGGAATGGGTTCATTAAAAGAAAGAAAAGTTGGAGGAGAAACAAAACTATTAAGAAAAACAAGGTTTTGGGTTTTTTTGGTCAGGTATGTGTAGCTGCTATTTATCATTTGAGGGAGGCTCTTATTACAGGCAGTTACTGAAATTACTAACTCAAGCAGCCTCTGTGTAGGGGAAGCATGCTGGTGGACCATACACCCTGCGTCCAAACAGAGATCTGAAGGAGAGAAGGTGCGAATCGGTGATGACCTCATCCTTGTCAGCGTGTCTTCGGAAAGATATCTTGTAAGTGGTGTGTGTTTTGGGGCTGTTTCTACTCAGCATCTTCTTTTTATGAATAAGTTGCTGAGCATTGATCCCCACAGTCAGTTGGATGGAGCCAGTCCTGTGTGAAGATGAACTAGATATAAATATAGTCTTATTTGAGGACCTGTGTGTTTCCCTGCCTTAAAGAGTTTATCTGACAAGTTTGCATTGGTGCCTGAAATTCCAATTCTGATAGCCACTCTTTGAGATTTCTTCAGAAATCCTTTTTTAAAAATGGAAATTGCCAGATAGGATAGATATTCGTTCACTGCTTTTGGTATCCATTACCCCATTGTCACAAATTTGTTTATCAAATTAGCTAGCTTTCTCTTAGTTGAGAGCAAGACTTTGAAAAACACAGGAAAACTAAGTTTTTATTCAATAGTGAAGGATTCAGAAAGAAGTCCAGGGAAGGCCTAGATGGAATAAAATTTCGTTTGAGGATACTGGGATAATTAGGGCAATCGAGGTAAGGATGTTGAAAGAAGTAGGAATATCAACATAAACTCAGCCTACTTCACAGTTTGTAATAGATCTAGCCCTATGCCTGAAGTTATTTCTGTTATTTGTGCCAGTACTGAAGTTGAGCAGACACTGTGAAATAGCTGAAGAGAAAATGTAAACATTTGCCTTCCTCTTGCTGAATACTTCCTAGAATAAAGCATCCCATTTTGAAGATTTGGGGTTGATTAGCATAATTTGCCACAGACCATGCAAGTCCAGCCCAATGATTACAGCGCTGTTTGACTTAACTCTCAGGTTCTAGAATGGCTTTGGGGGAGATTGTGAAGCTAGAAAAACCATTTATGTAAGTCACAGAATTGGTTGCCGCTTCCTATAGGTTAGCTATAGGGATGCTTCCTATAGGATAGCATTGGGGAAGAATGTCTTATTTTTGTCTCTGTTGCAGCATCTCTCCATATCGAATGGCAACATACAAGTGGATGCCTCTTTTATGCAAACACTCTGGAATGTACATCCTACATGCTCAGGAAGTAGCATCGAAGAAGGTTTGCTCTGATAAAATGCATTCACTCCCTACCATGTCTTAGGACACAGAAAAAAATTATTTTTTTGCAATGCATGTATTTCACTTTTATAGTATACCAAAATAAGCTGGTAAAGAGGTAGCATGATTTGTTGTTATATGAATTTCTCTTCCTAAAGCCTATAGGAGTTATGAACATTTCACATAAGAACTATTCTATTTGACTTTCATTCGCATGAGCATGAATTTTTGTCATATTTTAGTCTTCTTTATAGTCATACAATCATTCTTCTTTTAGGATTTCAAGTGTCATTCCCTTAGTATTTATGATAATTTGGGATTGATTGCTGAATACGTTTAACATTAATTTATTTACAAACAATTTAAATTGGTAACATTTATTCCAAAAATACCTTTCCACGGAAGTCAAAAGAGCCCTGCTTTCTGAACTGAGAATCTTCCTGTTCATTATTACTCATGTTGATAGGAGCGTCACTTAAAAATAATGACCCTTACAAATGATATATGCCCCTTGTATTATGCTTTTCTTTAAGAAATAGCCCATTTCAATCTTTTGTCATACATTTTCATGAAGGCAGCAAGGTTTAACAGAAAGAATACTGGATTTGGAGTCAGAAGACCTGGGTTCAAATCCTCACTCTGCTGCTTTCTACTTGTGTGATCTTGGACAAGTTGTTTAACCTTCAATTTCTCTTTCTAAAATAAGTCTTCTATGGTCCCTTCTCACTCTAAATATTTGGTCTCTGATTTTCTCTAAAGCTTCCATGTTGGAATCAGAAAGATCTATATACAAATCTCTACTACTCTAATGAAACTTTGAACTACTCTTCAGCTCTCACAGAGAGCTGGGGTCAATTAGACATTGTTTATCATATCAAAGAAATACTTAGAGAATTCTTAATGTGTTAAGACATGACTTAGTTCATCTGTAAGTTGCCTGATTTATTCAGCTTATCTTTGTCTAGCTGACAATATCTTCACAGCATTCACTGGTACCAATTCCATTTAAGGCAATGAAAACATAAATGATCCATGTGAAGGCATCCCCCCCATTTTCCAAATATTGCCGCATTATATATAAATTAAGAAAAATTAAGATACTTTGTCTGTTGGCAGTTTTCTCCATGTGAACAGATTATTAATTGAGGGACACTTAATTAATGTAAATGAGAGACTCAGAAGGAAGCATGGTTCTGCTATCATAAAATAATGGAGTGTAATCAAGGGAGTGACCATGGAAGGTATTTAATTTTTTATTAAACTAGACCATGATTGTTCTAATGAGATGAACCATGAATTATTTCTAAATGCCAAAAATATTCTGATGCAAATGGAGGCATCAGTGCAACAGGGCAGGAAAACGGAGCTGGACTTTGGGGTGTTATTGTTATTTAAGGAAATCTTTACTTGCTCAGGTGAAGAAAGGGCTGAGATAAATGGCAAAGTGTTACAATGACTCCTGCTTTATGTAATGAACTAAAGGTAAATCTTCCCAGGGATTGGTTACACATTATCAGAAGCCTCTTACTTTCAGGGATCTAATCAAATTCCCAGAATAATTGAGGCCAATCCCTAAAAAGAATTCAGCTATATGATTAAAGAAAAATTGAAGCCATACATAATTGGCATGCTGAGTTTACAAGTATTATCTGGACATTCTACTGAAGTACTTTGAAACTTAGAGGGGCAGCTAATGTTCTATCTGTAGAATTGGCTTTTTCAATGTAAGGGTCATGGTAGGGCAGCTACCCTCTTATAATCCTTTTCTGAACCAACACTTATAGTTTGTTAGAAGAGTGAAAGATCAGTATTCCTTTTATATTACTGCCTGAATTATAATTGTTAAAATTCAGTTCCATAGACTAAAACCCATGAATTACAAGAATCTGAGTATTAATTCACTTGAGGAATGGGTGAAATACTGCACTTTCCCTTTCCTTTGTTACAGTGGGAATGTTCAAAGTTTGACCTGCAATATGTTAAATGAGTTGGAAAGTTAATGTCAGTTAAAGTTAATATCTAAAAAATAGCTTGCTCTTTTCCTTCCCCATGATTCTTTCTTTTCTTATAATTGCTGATCGGTTTGCATTTTTATACCAAGTATACATTTTGTGAATGTCTTGGCTTATCTAAGTATTAGATATTTGAACCATTTAAATACCCTATTCTTATCAATACCAACTCCCCCCCATTGTTCTCTAGCTATAATGGAAGGTATTATTAACCTAGATTTAATGTGATATTCTGCTTATTATCTTTTCTACTGCTAGACTCTTAGTTAAAGTGTCTGTTTCACATTCCCCCTATTTTTCTCTGTCTCCTGAATTCATTGACTAAATCTGTAAGACCCTACATTCATACCCCTGAGTCTTTTATATTAGTTACTCAGTCCTGCATGCATTTGACTTCTTTACCACAGACAAAATATATGAACTAAACCAACTGTAATCATTCTGTCAGTGTTTCAACATTATAATGGTGAGATGTGGTTCTTCTACAGGATACTTACTTGGTGGGCATGTAGTACGTTTTTTCCATGGCCATGATGAGTGTTTGACAACCCTATCTACAGACCAGAATGATTCCCAACACAGGTAAGCTAGTGGTTTCCCTCTCTTATTGTATGACTGAAAACATCAAAAGAAGAATTCTGGCTTGGACTTCACTTCATATCAACTTTTTAGTTGCTGGTCAAGCTATTCAACTTTCTCAGGCTTTAATTTTCCAATCTGTAAAGTGATAATAGAAGTGATATTCACTTTTCATATGTATATTACTTAGGGGAGAATAAGCCAATATAAATAAAAAGTAATTACATAATGTAAACTGATTATATCCCATATTTTCTGCATTACCTCTCACCCCAGATTCTTTGACTCATTTTGAAATAAGGAGCATTCATTTTTTTTTACGATAGAGACTAGAACAGGCATCCTAATTGTCCTGATGATTTATAAGACTCTAAAGGGCCAATAAGTCCTGAATCCACTTTATGTGTGTTTAGCCATTTGGATAGAGTTCAGTGATTTGCTTTTGTTTACAATTAGATAGGGCCAGAGCTACCACATATCACTATTCTGTATATTGTATAGAATGGTGATGTGTGCCAAATATAAGTGAACCACATTTAAAGGATGCTGCTGGGGTAACTGCTTTTTTTGGGCACATATTCATGGCATACTTAAACCTCTCTGACAGGCATCTGTGGTAAGCAGCTTATTTAGTCCATAGTCTAAAAAAAAATTCTTTGGTTAGGTTTTAGATTTGCCATGTTGAATTCTTGATTTCTGTAATCATCTTTGAGGAAGTATTCTTGGCCTTTAGAAGTTTGGTTTACATTGATGCAGGAGAAAAACAAAATGCTGTTATGAACAGTTTTATACGTGTGTGTGTGTGTGTGTGTGTGTGTATCTTTTAGCAACTGGGGTTAAGTGACTTGCCCCAGGTCACACAGCTAGTTAAGTGTCAAGTGTTTGGTCTGAGGCTGGATTTGAACTCAAGTCCTCCTGACTTCAGGGCCAGTGCTCTATCCACTGCACCACCTAGCTGCCCCAGTACATATATTTTTTTATTGCTGTTGGTAACCTCCTTGGAGTCCAAGTCCCACAAGTGGAATTTCTGGGTCAGAGAACATGAACAATTTAATAACTTGGCTGGCATAATTCCAGATTGTTTCTTGTGATTCTAGCTGAATCAATTTTATTTGTACAAAAGCTTTTACATATTATGTAATCTAGGTTGTCTGTTTTGTCATTTATAGTTTTTTCTTTTTTGATTTTACATTATTCACAATTGTGAAAGATAGGGCATAAGATACTGATTTAAACCAATTTTTCGCCAGGAATTTTTCTGGTTTCCCATTGACTCTTGTCAAATAAGAAGTTTGTAGTTTTGGGTTTAATAGATACTAGACTTCTTTGTTCATTTTTTCTAGGTTTTGCTTATCTAGTTTATTCTATTGATCTATTTTCTACTTTTTATGCAGTACCAGATAATCAACAACCATTTGTTAAGTGCTTACTATGTGCCAAGGACTGTACCAGTTTTTATAATTAGCTTCTTTGTAGTATGGTTTGGGATCTGGTAGCATGATGCCTCATTCTTTCTTTTTAAATCATATACTTGCCTTGTCTTTGATAATGATTAGTACTTTTGATTTCATAGGTTTTTGTGTTTTAAATATGTTCTTGCATGCAATACTAAATCAGTACTAGGTATCTGCAGTTGTATGGCTTGAGACCATCTAATCTCTATCTCCTTTCTCCCTCCCCTTCTGCTCAAATTAAAATCAATAGATCATTCTCTTTCTTACACTCTTTTCTCTAGAGCTGTATTTTGTTTTCCTTGAAGCTATTTTTCCTATTGTACCCCTCATCTCAGACAACTCTCCTCCTTCCCTCCCCACCCCCCAAGCCTCTTCTTAACATTTCTCTACTTCTACTACTATAATCTTTCTTTTTTAAACTTTTTCTTGCTTGACCTATATAAGAATGTGGTTCATTAGATCCCTCTTCCCCTCTTTCCTCAACTAGTCTGTTTGATTAATTCCACCTGTGGTGATTCAAGTTCAAGAAATACTAAGTCCTTTCTTCTTCTTACTCTCTTTTTTCTCCTTGTTTCCTCAATGCCCTTAGATAAGGTAGGACTTCCAGGGGATGGTGGTACCTCATTATGTCCCTCATAAACCCTTCTTCTAAATTTCTCTATTTCTCTTATGGGCACTACTATCTTTCCAGTCATACAGGCCTCCAGCTTCATTAATCTTCACTCTCTTTCATCCTTTATAGCCAATAGGTTGCTAAATCTCATCAATTCTGCCTCCAAAAGGCCTCTTTTCAACTTCTTTTCTTAGTTCACTTTGCCACCAAGGTGAAGACCTCATCACCTCTCCATAGAATAATTGCTTCCTACTTGGTCTTCCTAAATCTAGTCATTCCCCTCACCAATCTTGCCTTTTTACCACTGCCAAACTGATATACCTAAAGCACAGAGTAAACCTTGTCACTCCGCTGGTCAAATCACTTCAGTGGTTACCATTTTCTTTAGAATCAATTAAAAATTTCTCTGTCATTCAAATCTTTTCACTGTCGGGCTCCAACCTATTTTTCTAGATTCATTTCACATTATTTCTCTTCACAAACTTTTCATTCCATCCAAAATGATTTATTTCCTGGTCCTTGCACAATATTTCTTCTCATACTTTCAAGTCTTTGTATAAGTTGTACTTTCTTCCTAGAATATACTTCTTTCCCTCTCCCTTCCTCTTGGACTTTCTGGCTCCCTGTAAGGCTCAGCTCAAGTACAATTTCCTATGTAAGCACTCTCTTGATTCTCCCTAGTGTTATTGAGTCCACTCCCACTGGAAAAAAAATTTACTTGGTATTTGTTTATGTACATTTTATATTTAGGTAATAAATAAATATAAATTATTTTGGAGAAGACAGGGAGGAAGATGAAGAAAGAATTAGTATGGGAGTCTACATTTAAATTGAATCTTGAAATGAGCTAGGAAGCTACTTAGAAATATTTTAACTATATTACTTAATTCTTCATTGTCCCAACTCTTTAAGACTGTAAGTTTCAAAGAAGATAATAAGAAGGTCTAGTAGAAATTCTACAGAAGAAGATCTGTACACCAGTGAAGGCATACCAAGTCAAAAAAATTTTTTTTTGACTGACCTTTTTTTGTATTGTTTTCCCATAGTAGAATGTAAGTTCCTGGAGGTTAGAAACTGTTTTATTTTTATTTTTATTTATTTTTTGTTGTTGTTGTTGTTGTTCATTTAATCAATCAGCAAGCATTTATTAAGCACCTACTTTGTGGCAGGCACTGTTCTAGATACTGGAAATACAAAGATAAAAGCAAAACATCTCCTGGCCTCAAGGAGCTTACATACCAAGGAAACATTTAAGATTTTATGCAATAATTGCAAATCACAATAACCAATATCTTTACTGTAGCCAATATTTATGTAGTGTTAAATTTAATAAGGCCTTCCTACTGATTTATCCTGAAAGGCAGGTGGATATGATTAACCAGATTGATTTCTAAAAATCTTTTCCTTTACAATTTCTAGTTCTGAATTGAAGTCATATCACTGCATTTTAACTACCATGGGGTTAGATCCTGAAATCTTAAAATACTGCCACCCTAACTCAGTTACTAATTTGCTACTGGTTATTATTTTCTTTATATCAGTGTTTTAATAATTAAATCCATAACCCAAAAGAATTAAAGGAGAGTTCTTTCCTAACAATCTTTTTTCAACCTCCAGAATCTGCTAGGATGTCTTTAGTGGTTCTACAACTTTTTTTAGCTAACTTTATTTTTGTAGCCCCAACTTGGCCAGTGTTGGGACCCCCTGAAAATGGTTTTGTTGGCTTTTCCTCTTATCTTATAATCCAGTCTCCCTTGGAAAGCCTAACGTGGGAGTTAGTAAAGTTAACAAAAATTTCCTAGTGTTCTCTCTACCTACAGCCCTTAAAAGTCTTTTTGGCTAGCTGCATTTTAAATCATTCAGCATAAACATGATGCAGACATTTTACAAACAGACAAAACACAGACAAAATGACAAGACAGATACAAATACCAAAGTGCACAAATTTAATTTTCTTGTTGGCTTTTTAGGCTTGGTATTTTATTTAAGATAAATCAATTTTGACAGGTTAAAATTCAGAGTTATGTTTAATTAACCAACCCATGATTGCCTTTACACCAGCACTGGCAATATTTGTGGTCCTCAGAATGACTGGCCCTAATTTAAAATCCTGACTGACCCATGACTGAATTACAAAGGATATCCATTTATCTTTTGGAATAGATCTACACAAGTGGTCTTCACATACACACACACACACACCCCACCCCCGCACTAGCTCAGAGAGAAAAATGAAGACTGAGTCTGATGATAGGAACCAGGGGATGGAGATGGGATTTATCCCCCTCTCACCCCGTCTCAGGGCTGGAACTTTTAGGAGAATAAGTCCTTGCTACCTAGTCCCAGCACTGTCAGAGGAATGGTCGAGTCTCTAGTCACTTGTCCCTATATGAGTTACAGCATCAAAATGTCAACCTTCAGAATGTGGTCTAAGAAAGACAAAGAGAATTAGACTGTATCCATGTTTATTTCTCTCAAAGCAGGCAGCATGCATGCATCCATGCATGGGTGCTACAGTTTGAAACTGAGCTCACTTTGGGGTTAGGGTGCAGTTTATATACCTTTCCAAACCAGGCTGAAGTCACTCCATCATCATTTCAACCCTGAACAGAGAAAACACCACCCCTAGTCATACCAGACCACTCCCAGCCTTAGACCATCTAGATACAAGAATCTGTCTCTACCCAAGTTTGAATGGAACACAATGGGTTTCCCTACTTTAGATTAAATTACTTGCAAGCTTTGGTGGGGGCTGACCAGGATAAAGAGAGTCAATGCAATCTCATCATCATTAATGTTCTTCTGAAAAATACCTGAACTTAAAGTCAGGACTTTAGAAGAAAGGGGGAGGGGTGGTGGTAGTGGTGGAAGCTCTGAATCTCCAAGATATTGGTTATTAATAATCATTTTTCACACCTTCTTTTTCCTTTTATAATTGCATGATATAAGGGGAGAAAATAAAGCAAAACATGATATAAAATGAATTTTAAAACTTTATTTTATGCATACGATGTACCAGGCACTGTGTTATTAGATTATTTAAAGTCCCTTCCAGCACTGAAATGGGATAGTGTGTAATTTTTCAAGTGTTAAATAAACATTGACTTTTATTATTGTAAGTCTATCCTTCAAATTTTCTGTTGGGCTGAGATGACAGAATTTAGAGCTCAGAGGGGCCTTAGAGGTCATCTTATTTTGTAGATGAGGAAACTGAGGTTCAAAGTCATAGTCCTAGTAAAAGACAAAGCTGGGATTCAAACCAGTGCTTTACTCTCTGAATTCCACACTCTCTCCACTATAGTATTTGGATGTCCATGATGTCTCCTTTTTAAAAAAAAAAAAAAGACATTTCCATCTGCTCTAAAGAAGTTTTCCTGACTAAATTTTAGTTTTAATATATATCATGCCCCATTGGTTCATAGCTGTACTTTTCCTGGTACTCATACAAGTTTAAAAAAAAAAGTCATTTTCCTCTGTTCTGGGTACTTATACAGCAATGGAAATATTATTATTAATTTTGTGATTGTTATCATATAATGATTAGTAATGATCCACGGTGTGCTCTATTTTCTACAGAATTCTCCCCTACCTTCCTCTTTCCTCTTTGTCATCCACTCCTTTACATTCAAAGACATATTTTCTTGCCTTCCTTTTAGGAGCTCCTGCGTTTTCTTTTCTTTCTTTTTTTTTTTTTGTTTTTTAAGAAAATGAGATTGGAAAATTATGGCTTTTTTAAATTATATATTGACTTTTCTTTCATGGGAAGAGGGCTAGGTTTGAAGTCGGAAGAAGACTTGGGTTTAAATTTTACTTCTAATGCATACTTGTATAGCCCATGGGGAAATAATTCTACTTAAACCTCAGTTTCAGCTATAAAATAGGCTTAATATTGTTGTAAGATTGTTAGGAAGCTCAAATGAGATAATATATGTAAAAGTCTGTAAACTTTAAAGCTTTATATAATGACTTGCTATTAAAACTTGATTTTTAGAAACAGCTTGCATAGACTAAATTGATTCTTTGTTGCAGAGAGCCATTTCCTTTAGATATTAGTCTCTGACCTGTGTTGGGAGAGCATTTCTTGGATTCTGTTTTGTTCATTGTATTTGTTATGAGTCAAAATGTTATCCTACTCCTTTAACTCTCATTTACAGGAGGATATTTTATGAAACTGGAGGAGCTGGGAGCAGAGCCAGGTCACTGTGGAGAGTGGAACCCCTTCGGATAAGGTAACAGAAATATCTGGGTATTATGCATTCTCAGGTTTAAGTTTCTTCTCACCTCTTATTTGTATGGCTTTTATTTTATTCCATTCTTCATTGTTATATTCTAATCCCTTTGTGATTTAAGTATAACTCTATTTTCCCTTTTTCTAACTTTCAGGACAGCTTTGGTACTAAGCTCAGGCACAGCACTTTTAGAAGCCATCCTATTGGGTTACATCCCAGGGTTATCTCAGAGCATTGCCAGGGAATGCTTTGGTCTTCCAAATTTCTTTCTCAATTCTTTTTTCTTGCTGGTTCTTAGGAAATCATAAGTTTCCTGTTCTCCCTAAGTTGCTTACATAATGCTGTGGAAAATTAACTCTAGGATTCTGTAGTATCTTACTTTTACTCTGAGATTGTTAGGCTTTTATAGTGTTGTAGGATTTTTTTGTAGGATTTGTACAATTTTGTAGGATTTGTAGGATTTTTTTCCCTTTAAAAATTATTCTTTAAATTTCATTTTTACTTGTATACTTGATTTTATCTGTAATAAGTCCATTTTTGGTGCTTCCAATGATCTTTCAGACCTGCCATTATATTCTCTTGTTGTTCAGTCATTTTTCAGTCATATCTGACTCTTCGTGACCCTATTTGGGGTTTTCTTCTCAAAGATAATGAAGTGCATTGCCATTTCCTTCTCCACCTCATTTTACAGTTGAGGCATTGAGGCAAATCAGGTTAAATGACTTACCCAGGGTCACACAGCTTAGTTAGTGTGTGAGGCTAGATATGAACTGGGGAAGATATCTTCCTGACTTTAGGCCCTGCACTCTATCCACTGTGCCACCTAGCCGCCCATTCTCTATATTAGTAATTTTAAATTATCTGCTTCTTTTCCTCCAATGATTTTTAAAAATTTCTATTTCTACTTTTATTTCCTTTCATAGTTCTACAACCAATGTTAATTCTTTCTTATATTCTTTAAATGTATTATTTACCCATATGAGAATGTGTCTCAGGAATAGCTTGTATATTTCTGTTTCCATCTGCATTATTTCTGGTACTTTGGATATTTAATTTGTTTTTCTTTTTTCATTTTCTTTTTGCTAAATTTAACTCTTTCAGTTTTAAACCATTTTTCTTCTTTTTTGCTCTCATATATTGGTTTATTGGGAATGGGATGATTCAGATTTCCTCAAAACCTCTAACTATACCATCTTGACAATCAATCAGGCAATCAAATTATTAACTGTCTACTGTATTCTAGGAATCATGCACATATTAGAAGTGGAAGTCTGAGTGTTTCTTTGTCCATTTGCCCTTAAGTCTCACTGTGATTATTATAATGGACTCTAGAAGAAGAAATACATAAAAAGGAATTCTTCTTCTTCTAAAACCTATATGAATAAAGACCTTCCCTGGAGACCCTTTGAATTATAGGCAATTATATATGCCCAGTGCTTCCACATCTCCAACTTAAGCTTCAAGTGAAGTACCTTGAAGTACTATATTTTGTACTAGGTCCTTCAAGTAGAAATACTTTGATGTATGTCAAAATTTGGTACTTATCATAAACTAAACCATTAAAAACTTGCTATTTCTCAACTAGATCCCAAACTCTTTCCTTAAAACTTTTAATTGAACGGCTTTCTCACTTAAAAATCATCTAAAAGTATATGACCTAAGTTTTCCTCCAAGCCTGACCTCCTCACACTTTTCATAGAAAGAACTGTATTTGCACTTGCCTTATAATACAATTTATACTGCTCCTGGAGGGCCATTTCTTTCAGGCATTCTTTAAGAGAGTTTCAAATGAGGTTATATTTTAAGTACCACATATGTGGTCATTTTTTCTCTGACACAAGGCATTACATATGAGGCCTCCATGGGTTGATCAATGGCCTAATTTATTTCTCTGTATATTGTTTATTTTCTTTCAATAATAACCAAACCAAAGAACACTTTTCACTTTTCATTTTGAAGCTAGGAATATCATTGAAATGCACTCCAAGATATTAAAATGTTAGAGTCCAGGTTCATGCTGTGAATGCTTTTATAGTCAGAAATAAGTTTGCCTTTAAAAGAATCCATTTCCATTATTTTCCCCTCCACTTCTGGTCAATGAAGCCATTTGCATGAAAAGGGGAACTGAATCACTGAAAACTATACACTTTCTCTAAGGTGGAGCTTGGAGGCTTCAAGTGACCTTTAAGTAGCAGAATTACCTTAACTATTAGAAACCCTATTTTCTTGTTTTTGCCCCTAATTTGTAGTCTAAAGGGGGAAGTTAGATATTCATGAATTGCACTTAGACTTGCCTCCTAATAAAATCATTAGCATGGGAGAAGTAAAAGGATTGATGCACCCAGGTTTTGTAAATTGACCCACAGAAAGATTATGAGAAAACTACTAAAATATTCAAGTTTTTAAAAAGTACTAATTAGGTATTTAGTGCTCTTTGTTAGTATATAACCACAAATGTTTCCTGCTGATTGATTTAGCTGGAGTGGCAGTAACATCAGGTGGGGCCAGGCCTTCCGACTTCGGCACATTACCACTGGCCATTACCTGGCTCTGACAGAAGATCAAGGCCTTATCTTGCAAGATAGAGGGAAATCGGACACCAAGTCCACGGCCTTTTGTTTCCGGGCATCAAAGGTAAATATTGATAAGGGAAGTTTTGGGGCCTCTTCCCATAGTGAAAGTTTTGAAATACATAGAACAAATAAATATAAAAGACACATACCCAACGTGAGGAGATCAGACTGAACTAAGTGAAATCAAGCAATAAATCTAAAAAAAATGCTGCATTTTTTGCCTTTACTTTCCATAATCTTTGGTTTGGAATTAAATGGAAACCTGGATCTTGTGTAGTGGTAGAAGTTGAATGTTTTAACTGAAATGGTACTTTTAAAAATGTGAATTTTTAAAGCAACTTTCAAGACTGCTTTAAAACAAAATTAATTGATAAGAAACCAGTTTGTAAATAACACAATACCTGGTACAGGATGGTAGAAATGCCTGGCTCAAGAACACTGCAGAGAAACAGAGTCAGGACATATCTTTGACTCCAGACACAGCGCAAACCTAATGCCATTTACATTTTAAAGTATTGCTAGCTACTTGCTCATTCGTTCCTCAAATCTCTCTCAATCTCTCTCTCTCAATCTCTCTCTCTCTGTCTCTTCCTTTCTTTTCCCCATGCCCCTTTCCATATGTAATAAACATTTCCTAATGTCTAAGCCATGCTAGGAAATTATAATTTTGTTATTATAATTCACATAAAAAATGTTGGTTGTGTTTTTAAATCTTAGCCAAGTCCATTTGGATGGTCATATTTAGACACTGGACTAACAGGTGAATGCCGTGCCATTCTACTTTATAATTTTTTTTTCTTATTTTCTTTCTTTTTTTTAAGAAAAATCACTCAAACAGTGTTTTATACAGTCAGTACATTCAGATTTTCATTGAGATGTTACATTGCTCCCGAGATTGTAATTGAACATTTTTGTCATCTTTATCTTAGATTCCATTCTTTTTTTTTTCAAGAATGAATCTTAAGTTCTCTTTAACTTATAGATTGTAGATCATTCTATCATTTATAGTATGGGAGTAGAGCTATTAGCTGAAATTTTGTTATTATGCTAGAATAGGAGAGATAATACATATTCTGGTCTTTTTACATCCATGTTTCCCTAAGGGACAATGTAAACATCTTTTACACTTTGTTAAAACAAAAGCATATTTTGTTTTGTTTTGTTTTTTTGGATAGAGATTTTTTTCCCTCCTCCAGAATTCACCTTATATTTGTGGATAGTTTGCAAAAATGAAGAAATTGCCATCTGCCAGGATACACCTCATTGGCACCCAGAAAAGTAAATTTTTCTATGTCTTTCTGTAGCATTTCCTTTTGTTTGGTTGAGGTCCTTTCTTGCCTCTCCAGAGATTGCTTTCTGTTTCTGCTCTGAGATAGAATCGTTCCTAGAACTGTAGAATTTTAAGAAATCTTACAGATCACAGATGAGGAAACAAAAGCCTAAAGAGGGGTAGTGACTTGCCTGAGCTAAATCAGAGGGTAATCAACAGAACCAGGATAATTTGTGGGATTTAAAATTCAAATTCAGCCTCTCTTGGATGGGTGCTAAATGTTATTCACCTTCCAAAACAAATGAAGAGCAATGTACTTTCTAAAGAAGTGAATGAAGCAAAACAAAAGAAGAGCAAACAGGATGATAAATAATAGGATCACATTTTCTCCCCAATAAACCACTTGGACTAGAATAAAAATAACCCATAAATAACTTACGAAGAGATAAGTTTTCTTTTTTACTGTCCTCCTTATTCCCTTACATCTATCCCTTTCATTCTTTTCCTCTCAATCCAAATGTTGCATTGGACTCTGACAAGGACTGTGATGTCAGGAGCCTTATAATTTCAAGTAAGAGATTCTCTAAGGGCCAGGTAGTAATCAGTTTTCAGATACACAGAATACTGTTTTGTCATTCCAACATCATTCTTGGCTTTTAGTCACTCTTCTGGAGTGCGTAGCTTCTAGGGGCAAGGAAAAGGATGAAACCAAAAGTTCATAGCACTATAAAGATATTCTAATCCTCCTACTCACTTGGCTCCATTCTTAGGTTGTATTTATTGTAGTTTACCCTAAAAAGACTTATTTGTTATTTCCCCATTACCATCACTAGCACATAGAAAAGGACAGGGACCAAATGGTTGAAAAGACAGGGTTCAGCACCAGTAAGGCTGTCAGTGGGCCGTAGGTTGTTTTAAAAGTCACTAGTGAGTCATGTCATATCCCTGTACTTGGTATTGTGGCTGTATTGCAACTGGAATTATCATCTTAAAGATGTAAAATGATCCAAAGATCCCACAGTTTTTGACATGGCTTCTTTTATTTTGATTTGAAAGGAATGTGGGTTGAAATGGCTGAGACTCTCTGACAGGCCAGGAACCAAGGCTGTTGATGTTCCCAAAAGGAATTAAAGAGCCTTCCTGCAGTACTCTGTATTGGGGAGTGGTGGGGTGGGTATGAGAGGGTATGAGTGGGTTTTTACTACCTTATATTTTAAGTACATACAATGGAATTTGAAAATTCAAGACCTAAACCTGTGTAACAAAAGAATGCCAGAGTTTCTCCCTATTAGAATCTTGTAATTTAGTCTTGGAAGTTTCAGAATGTTTGAGACATAAAGTAGTTCACTGAGTATTAACTAAGTGGGCTTTGGTGATGTGCCTAAAAGTGTCAAACAGCCCATGGGCCATGAGTGCTGCCTGAACCAAGTTAAAATGTGATTGGAAAATACTTAACAAAATTTTAAAAAATACAATAAAATGTAGATAATATTACATTTTAAAACTAAATCCATATCCTTGGGATATTGAATCCCTATGTATGGATTGGTAGCCTCTGTTTCTATGTGAGTTTGATATCACTACCCAAGAGGATCTCTGAGTTAGGCTAGATTACATTTATCCTTTTATAATTCTGGACTTCCTGTTCCATATTTTCTCTGAAGTCATGTATGCCCCCTTGGCAGCCAATATTTCTTTCTTTTCTTAAAAAGAAAAAATCATCTATTTATTTATTTATTTTATTTGTGGAATCAGGAAGATTTGGGTTCAAGTCTTACCTCAATAAATCAATCAGTAGACATTTATTAAATGTCTGTATGCCAGGCACTATGCTAAGCACCTCAACATTTGCTAGCTGCATGACCCTGAGTAAGTTCACTTATAAAAATGAGGGGGTTGGATTTGATGGCCTCTAAGATTCTTTCTAGTTAGTACTACATCTATGATCATATATATGAAGACAATCCAAATCTGAATAAAAACTTTACAATCATTCTTGGTTCTTTCCTCTCCCTCATTTCTCTCCCATATCCATCAACTGCTATCTATGATCACTTCTCCACTCCAGGGCAACCATCTTAGTTCAGGCCCTCATCATCTCTTATCTGGATAATAATAGCCTTCTAATTGGGCTCTCTTCTTCCAGTTTCTCTCCTCTCCAATCAATCCTTCACACAGTTGCTAAAATAACCTTCCTAATGGACAGGTTTGATTATATCACTGTGGTGTGTTTGAAAAGGTTTGAGGGATATAATTTCTAGGCAGTTTAATTATTTTATTAATAATGCCAGCATTTTAATAAAAAGATGGTCATTTGGCACTCTCTCTTTTAGACCAAAGACTATCATGGCAGTAGGCTCATTGCTTATATGCCCTTTTGGAAGAGGCATTTTCCCCAGGGTGGCAATCATCTCTGATTGGCTAACAATTAATGGAGAATGAATATTACAATGAGGGGCTTGACCTGAACCTTGATTGTGTCATTTACTTCTAAATTAGCCCCAACCTTGGGCAATCTAGTCAAAGAATTTATCCACACCCAAACCTGAGTAGAACATAATAGCTGCCCCATCTGAGTGGGTATCTCTCCCATCTGGATAAAGGAGAAGGTTAGCTCAATCTTCAGAGACTGAAGTCTTGAAATGAGAATAATAGAAAGAGGGGGAAATTTGAATCTTCCCAAATCATTGGTTATTAATAATCATTTCTTTTACCATTCTCTGGCTCAAACATATTTAGAGTCTCCCTATTGTCCTTAGGATGCCTGGCATTCAGAGCCCTCTGACTGCAATTTCTCTTTAACCCTGGTTCCCCCTGACTCTTCTTCCCATCTTCTGCATTCTAGTCAAACTAGACTTTCAGCTGCTTACCACTTGTTCCCTCCCACCTCTTTTCCCTCCAGTGGGAATGCCCTTCTCTCTTAGCTGCCTCTCCTAAAACCCTTCTCTTTCTCCAAGACTTGAGTACTCCCTGCTCTCTGCATAGCCTTCCCTGATTGTCCCCACTCCCAAAAGGTTCTCTGTCTTCTCAATTACTCTCAGACAATCTGGATTTTTCCTTTGACCCATCCAGACAAGAAGCATTTATTAAACACCTACTATGTGCCAAGCAATGTTTTCTTATATTTCTTATGTACATAGTTGTACATTGTACATCTCTCCTCCCCCAGCCAATGGAATGCAAACCCTTGGAAGGCAGCAACTATGTCATTTCTCATCCTTGTATTTATGGTTTCTAGTATACGATTGTCACTTAATAAACATTAAGTTAATGAATGCTGTTAGGGATGAAGATGATGCCTCACTACCATTACTAATAAGCACCTGAATGGGGTTAACTCAATGCCAAATGGGTGCATAATGACCAAACACTTTGTAGTTTCCTTATAGCAACCCTGTGAGGTAGAATAAGGGTTGTATAAGTAATAATAGTATGTACATATATATTCTTATTTTGTGGATTAGAAGTTGAGGTCCAAACTTGCCCCAGGGTCACATAGAGAGTCAGTGAAAGAGCTGGGCATCAAAAACCCAGATCTCCTGACTCTGGATTTAGCATAAAAGACTTCCTTTAGGACAAGTTCAGAATCCTGATGCTGACACGTAGTAGCTTGGTAACAAAACTGCTCTAAGCCTCAGACAGCTCTCTAAGATTTATCTACTAAGTCATAGATTGATCTGTGTTGGTGACCAGAGTTCCCACATGATGATCCTTTGGTATTAACATACAGGGTGTCCCAAAAGTCCTAGTTCAGTTTTCAATAGCTTACAACTATTTCCAGTTTTAAGCTG